ACCACAGTCAACACTCGAGCAAAATTAAGTTCCTTGTTACTCTAGTTTGTGCTCCCAACTTCCAGAGTATCCGTCCAACGCCATCACACACCGATCACTGACCTGCGTGAAAGTGAACAACTCACATATTGGGTGTAACACATAAGAGTTACCTGAACTCAAGATTACCGCTCCTTTCTTGACCGCATGTCTGAAACTTGAAAGAATTTCACCGTTGCTTGTAGTCATCCCGAGTCAAATTCGCAGTTGCCTCACCACATGTATGACCACCAGAGCCCTGGCCCGTCTCCATGTCCCGTGAATACAGCACGCCTCGCCGCTATTACCGCGTCGAGCCTTCGCTGTCCCGGTCGAGTCTCAAGGTTCGTGAAACCACACCACTCAACACCCATTGCAAAGTACCACCGATCATCACCGACCGATGACGAGTTTCACTCTTCCATCAGACCACTGGGCTCCAGTCCAAATTACATGTCACTCACTTTTCCCCGCTGAATAGGCTTCGATTCTCTGGATCCTTACACCATAGCCCCTCAATCCAGCTCCACCTTCAACATGACTCCATGGTAGATGATCAGTCCACCCCGCGTCCCGTCGACTTCAAGCTCACATGCGTATGCCATCTTGAATCAACCCCACGCCATAGTCTTGTCGAAGCCACACAAGCCCTCAGGCCCGTGCCACGTGTTTCCACGCCCAGAAGTCGGTCACCATCAGCATCACGCTCCTATGTCGTCATCGCTGATTCCACCACCGTCTTCTATACCAACCGACTTGCGTCAATCCATCAGACTAACAAGCCTGACCCAGCCGAACTTACCCAGACTGCAACCATCTGCAACTCCTCACAGTCCTCATCGTCCATCTGGCTTGACATCCCGCAATGCCTTCAAGCATCCCTGTTGTGCCAACAAATTTTCACTCTTGTCTGCAATAACCCAAAGCTTTCAGTCCCGTTGAACTTCTCCACCTCAAACCTGGTACCTGTTGCTGTCACGATTCATTGTACGGCTGACCCTGTGAATAAATTATCTTGGCTCAACTTCAATGCGTAGCTCTTGCTTTGTCAATGCTTTTCCATTCTGATGCACTTTGTTTGGAGGCAGTCTAGATGTTGCACGTCTATGTCTCGGCCACTAGGAGAACACGTCTCCTCCAGGGACTCGGTCCCTCTTTTTTTTACAAACAAATCTCTTTGCCTACTTTGATACGTAGCTTGTATCGTATACATCCGGCCTCCGCAGCCCCTTAGCCAGCCACGCCTGCGTGTTGCCTCGCTCCTGCGCTGCTACGCCTGGGCACTTGCCCTGCAGGCTGCAGCGCGCCAAGGGCCTTAGGCCAGCACACTTCTCCGCGTCTGACTCGATCGGTGGAGAATCCGACCTAGGCTTCCAGCGCCCGTGCCTCGCGCTTCGGATCAAACCCGGCCGCATGTCCATGTCGATACTAGTCGCCGCCACGTGCACCCACGCCTTGCCCAAATCGGTGAAGTCTCCTGCTGGGACGCCTCCGCCGCAGTAGTATGCTCGCCCGATCAAGCCGCCGATCGACCGTCGCATCGTCTGCTGTTGTCACACGCACACGTGCGTTCCGGTCGCTTCCTTTAGATCAACAATCCATAACCTCCGGACAACCTAGCTCTGATACCACTTGTTAGAATAAATCGGAGGCATACCGTCGATCTTCCGAGGACCAAGCAATCACACGAGCACGACACCGAGATTTGTTAACGAGGTTCACCGATATGGCTACATCCCCGGGGCCTGACTATGGGCGCTCCTCCCCATGACACCGCTACAATACCGCACCCGATCGCCCTGGACACCGGCACATGCCGCCGGCTTCCCCTGCGTTCTGGTGCTATTATGTTGGCATAGGTTACATTGTGTGTCTACCCACGCTATATAAGAGAGGCCTAGGATACAAGTGTCCTACTAGGACACGACTCCACATCCTATGTAAACACGTTACAACTACAAGTCCAACTGTAACCTACCTTGTACACAATATTCGACACAACTCCAACAAACTCCACCTTGGCGAATATTCTCCACCACCTTGAATTCGTCAATGCGTCAAACTTCCATGTACATTGGACTTGAGCTTATCCCATGAGCACCACTGCTACTCCAAAGACTCCATGTGACTCCACCTGCAACTTGTAGTTCCTTCTTTTCTTGACCACAGTCAACACTCAAGCAAAATTAAGTTCCTTGTTACTCTAGTTTGTGCTCCCAACTTCCAGAGTATCCGTCCAACGCCATCACACACCGATCACTGACCTGCGTGAAAGTGAACAACTCACATATTGGGTGTAACACATAAGAGTTACCTGAACTCAACATCACCGCTCCTTTCTTGACCGCATGTCTGAAACTTGAAAGAATTTCACCGTTGCTTGTAGTCATCCCGAGTCAAATTCGCAGTTGCCTCACCACATGTATGACCACCAGAGCCCTGGCCCGTCTCCATGTCCCGTGCATACCGCACGCCTCGCCGCTATTACCGCGTCGAGCCTTCGCTGTCCTGGTCGAGTCTCAAGGTTCGTGAAACCACACCACTCAACATCCATTGCAAAGTACCACCGATCATCACCGACCGATGACGAGTTTCACTCTTCCATCAGACCACTGGGCTCCAGTCCAAATTACATGTCACTCACTTTTCCCCGCTGAATAGGCTTCGATTCTCTGGATCCTTACACCGTAGCCCCTCAATCCAGCTCCACCTTCAACATGACTCCATGGTAGATGATCAGTCCACCCCGCGTCCTGTCGACTTCAAGCTCACATGCGTATGCCATCTTGAATCAACCCCACGCCATAGTCTTGTCGAAGCCACACAAGCCCTCAGGCCCGTGCCACGTGTTTCCACGCCCAGAAGTCGGTCACCATCAGCATCACGCTCCTACGTCGTCGTCGCCGATTCCACCATCGTCTTCTGTACCAACCGACTCGCGTTGATCCATCAGACTAACAAGCCTGACCCAGCCGAACTTCCCCAGACTGCAACCATCTGCAACTCCTCACAGTCCTCATCGTCCATCTGGCTTGACATCCCGCAACGCCTTCAAGCATCCCTATTGTGCCAACAAATTTTCACTCTTGTCTGCCATAACCCAAAGCTTTCAGTCCCGTTGAACTTCTCCACCTCAAACCTGGTACCTGTTGCTGTCACAATTCATTGTACGGCTGACCTTGTGAATAAATTATCTTGGCTCAACTTCAATTCGTAGCTCTTGCTTTGTCAATGCTTTTCCATTCTGATGCACTTTGTTTGGAGGCAGTCTAGATGTTGCACGTCTATGTCTCGGCCACTAGGAGAACACGTCTCCTCCAGGGACTCGGTCCCTCTTTTTTTTTTTACAAACAAATCTCTTTGCCTACTTCGATACGTAGCTTGTATCGTATACATCCGGCCTCCGCAGCCCCTTAGCCAGCCACGCCTGCGTGTTGCCTCGCTCCTGCGCTGCTACGCCTGGGCACTTGCCCTGCAGGCTGCAGCGCGCCAAGGGCCTTAGGCCAGCACACTTCTCCGCGTCTGACTCGATCGGTGGAGAATCCGACCTAGGCTTCCAGCGCCCGTGCCTCGCGCTTCGGATCAAACCCGGCCGCATGTCCATGTCGATACTAGTCGCCGCCACGTGCACCCACGCCTTGCCCAAATCGGTGAAGTCTCCTGCTGGGACGCCTCCGCCGCAGTAGTATGCTCGCCCAATCAAGCCGCCGATCGACCGTCGCATCGTCTGCTTTTGTCACACGCACACGTGCGTTCCGGTCGCTTCCTTTAGATCAACAATCCATAACCTCCGGACAACCTAGCTCTGATACCACTTGTTAGAATAAATCGGAGGCATACCGTCGATCTTCCGAGGACCAAGCAATCACACGAGCACGACACCGAGATTTGTTAACGAGGTTCACCGATATGGCTACATCCCCGGGGCCTGACTATGGGCGCTCCTCCCCATGACACCGCTACAATACCGCACCCGGTCGCCCTGGACACCGGCACATGCCGCCGGCTTCCCCTGCGTTCTGGTGCTATTATGTTGGCATAGGTTACATTGTGTGTCTACCCCCGCTATATAAGAGAGGCCTAGGATACAAGTGTCCTACTAGGACACGACTCCACATCCTATGTAAACACGGTACAACTACAAGTCCAACTATAACCTACCTTGTACACAATATTCGACACAACTCCAACAATACCGCTAGCGAACCTGAAAGTCTGTTATGCGACAAATCAAGTATCCTCAAGTACACGAGTCTGCAAAGGTTTGGAGTGATCTGCCCTTCAAACTTGTTTCCGCCCAGTGAAAGTAGCCTAATGCTGTCAAGATAACGTACCCAGTTTAGGTTGCCCGTGAACTGATTGTGTCTGATATCCAAAGCAATCAGACTAGATGTGTTGTAAAGGAGAAAAGAGATATCGCCAGATAAGGAGTTCCCAGTAAGGTTAAGAAATTTGAGCCCTATGAAGCAACTGTTTGGTACAGACCCTGTGAGGTTGTTGTGCGATAGATCTAAAAGGCGAATTCTTGTGAAGCCACAAATGTGTTGACCAATTTTGCCAGTTATATGGTTACCAGCAAGATTCAGGGCTCTCAAATAAGACATATTCCAAAATGACGTATCGAGTTTGCCAGACAGCTCGTTATCATGCAAATCAATGACGTTTATAGACTGTCCTGCCAGATCATGAGGTAATGTCCCTGTAAATTTGTTACCATCCAAGCACAATTCAACAATATTGGTCAGATTATTCATCCCACCAAAAGAGGGCAGGCCTGGCGCAGTGGTGAAGTCCTCCCCACTTGTGCCAAGAGGTCGTGGGTTCGAACCAGCCTCTCTGCATTGCACTTTGCAGGGGTAAGACTAGGTTCCTATAATCCCTCCCCAGACCCCACCTTGTGTGGGAGCTTCTATGCACTGGGTCTGTCCTATTCATCCCACCAAAAATCGGACCACCAAGCTTGTTGTTTGAGACCTTCGAAATCAATAGCAGGGGATAATTAATAAAAACACAAGCTGGACCTCCCCAGAAAGTTTGTTGTTTGATAGGTCTAAAATTCCCATGAAGCTGATCTCGCACAGTGACGTTGGTATGTCCCCAAACAAGTTGTTACTAGAAAAATCTAGAACAGACAAAATTGGAAACATTGAGCTGAGGTTGGCCGGCAGCTGTCCTGCGACATGGTTCATGTGTATATCGATACTGCTGAGAGAATATTGGGTATGCCATATTGGGTCCAGCGATCCAGTTAGCGAGTTATTCCCAAGATTTAGAACCTGTAGTGTTGCTTCCTCTGTAAACAACCAATTTGGCATGCTGCATGACAAGTTATTGTTGGACAAATCAAGCACCTCTAAATGACGCTGTGTGCGTAAAAAATGTGGTTCCGCAATTATGTTCTTGTCAAGGTCACAAGCAGAGAGCAGTAGTTGTTTCAACTGGAACGGAGGTGTCCATCCGGAAATATTAACAGCCAGGTTGGCATTGCCTGAAAGATCTATCTCTTCAAGTTTTGTGAGGTTTCCAAGCCAAACGAAAGAAAGTCTACCACTCAGATTGTTTTGGGAGAACCGAAGACTCTTAAGTGACGATGAAAGATTCGAAGATGGATTTATCGGAAATGGTCCTTCAAAATAATTAGTTGATAGATTTAACTGTTCAATGTGTGGTAGCGAAAACAAGAATGTTGGAATGTTTCCGATGAATCGGTTGGAACTCAGATACAACTCCCGTAGGTTCAGTAGATTTTCAAATGCTGCAAACATAGGAAAATCATGTAACAATTAGAAATATTGGCAACACTCGTTTTTAGCGTGATAAGCGGGAAATGCTCTGTACCTCGTTCAATCGGCAGTGCTCCACTCATGCTATTACCGTGAAGACATAAGACATCAAGTGGAACTGGTTCTGACGAGAAATTAATAGGAAAACGTCCCACAAAATTATTATATGAGAGATCTAGGAACTTCAGATGAGGAAGTGCAAATATTGACACTGGGAGAGATCCACTGAATAGGTTGCCATGCAAATTCAAGTTCCTGATGTTTCCAAAGGCTGAGATGTAAACAGGTAGTATAGTTATTGTGGAGGGTGTACAATTTGAGGTATGAAACTTGATGTTCCTTTTTAAAATATAAGTAATATAATTTTTACCTTTAACTGGGAGAGTTCCACTGAGGCCATTAATGCTGAGATCTAAGACTTCAAGTGAAATGGGCCCTGAGGATGAACTAACTGGAATATGCCCACCAAAGTTATTGCTGGAGAGATCCAGGATCTTTAAGTGAGGGAGTGAAAATAGCGGTTCTGGGAGGTTTCCGCTGAAGCTATTCTCAGACATATTCAATTGTCGCAAGTTTCTAAGATTTTCAACAGCTGCGAAGTGTGTAGGGACAACATGAGATGATTATCGGTATGGGTACGAAAAATTTGATATCTATCTCAGTACTGTAAGAAGTAGTTATAATTTTGTATTACCTGTGGTTGGAAGACGTCCATTCATGTTGTTATAGTTGAGAACCAAGACTTCCAGTGAAACAATGCGCCCAATAGTTTCAGGGAAACACCCTTCAAATGTATTGTCACTGAGGTCGAGATATCGAAGCTTGGATAGTCCAACCAACCCTGCAGTAGTTTTAGTTTGTACAGTCGTGAGAATAAGAGTGACCACTCACGCATGTTGTTTTATGAGAATTTGGAGCAGATACATACCTTCCAAGCTTAGTGAACGGAAAGAATTGGATGATAGATCTAGGTACTGAAGCTCGTGGAATGCAGAAAATACCGTCGAGTTTAAATACTGAGGGACATCTGGAATTGTTAGGTTACTTAGGTATACACCCGAAAGGTAGAGATGAGACACTCGCTTTGTTTCATTGTTGCATTTCACAAGCTCCCACGAGCAGCAGTCATCATCATCCTTCCTCCATGAATCAAGCGCAATCAGGGAATGCGCTCTCATAAGGAAAGACCTGATGTCCATTAGTGCAGCCCTCTCCTCCATCAAGCAGCCGGAGGACAAGTGAAGTATGGACTGTAACAACAGAAATAGTAGTATCAACGATCCCCATGGCAAGAAGCTTCCCATATCTGATAGTAATAAGCTTTCCCCTCTCCTGTCTGTGCGCATATAAACTAGCGTTGGGCTGTATGGTAGTTCCTAGACTTTGAGGGGGAAATGGTGAGTGGTTCTAACGCCTGCAGGCTTGCTTTATCTTTCGCTAGCTCCCTAGTACTTGGTATTATAGACAAGGACATGCCAGGAATACAAGTCCAGGAGTTTACTTGGACCAAGACTCAGAAATCGTACACCATCCACACAGGCTGGGGACTGAGGAAGGCGGACTAGGCCCTGGGCAAGTATGTGTGGTCGGTGCTCTGCGCGGATTTCGCCACTGCCAGTTGCGTCCGGCCGCCGGAGATGGCGACGGCCGAAAGCGAACGAGTCCTCACTTCTTTCGCCGGGCCGGTAATAAGGCCGGCTAACTCATTTCTTCCAGGCCTACTATTGCATATCATAGCTGGGTGGGGGGCTGCTTCTGCCAGGGCTATATCTCGCCTCCGGGGGTCGCCAGCCCATCAAGCGGTTTTAGAAAGGTTCTATGGATCGGCTCCGAACGGTTTTAGAACCTTCCGTTTGTTTTTTTCTTCTGTTTGTTGCAATGTGTTCTCTTATATCGGCTTTTCTGCTTTTTTAACATTTATTTTCAAGTACATGTCTAGTTTTTCCAGTACAGGCTATAAATTTTTCTTTTGGAATACACGCATAACATTTTTTGATGCACGTTGAATATTTTTTTAAATACATGATGACCATTTTTATGAATCCATGTTTGAACATTTCGTTGGATAAATTTAAGTTTTCTAAAAAATACACATTGTAATTTTTAATGTTATGAAACCATTTTTTCATTAGATGAACATTTGTTTCAGATTATATATACATTTTTTTAATGTCACAGATATATTTTTTTCCACGTAAGAACATTTTTTGAAATGTCACATACATTTTTTTTCACTTGTAAAAATATTTCGTACATTGTATAAATATATTTTAAATGTCACAAAACATTTTTTTGAAACATGTAAACATTTTTTGCCAGCATCAATAGTACGATGTGTTATTTTCTGCGCATGTAAAGCTTCTGATACATTCTCTGTAAGAAAAGTACAATCTGTTACAAAGGAGTAGGTTACATTACGGAGCCAGAAAGGAATTAAGGAAGCTCTGTGGATCTTACATTTAAAGTATACTGTAGCTAACATGTGTAATGCTCAAGCACTATATGACTTGCAATGTTTAATTGCTCAAGCACTACAGCTTGAGTATCACGGATCTTCCGTAAGGATGGCAAAATGAGAACCCAACGGTGGCCCAAAATGTCAACACAAAGCCGGCAGCTGTGACAACATATAGAACTAGGTCATTGGGCGTCTCCACATCATTCCCCACAGCAGGACCTGGACCGGGAGCAGCACAAGTATTCCCCTGAGGACAGTCCCGCCGATTTGTGCCCCCGGCCCTCGCGTCGCCCCCCTGGGCGACTCGGGGGCGACTAGGGTTCCGCGGCCGCCGCCACCCCCCTCCACTCCCTTCTTCCCCTCGCCGCTACCGGAGACGCCCGCCGGGAAGCCTGCGCGGGCGCCGGTGAAGGTGGCGGCGAGGATCTCGGCGCTCCATCCCTTCTCGAAGGCCTGCGGTTCCTGGGGCGGCGGCCCCAACCGGAGAGGCGGCATCGTCGGGCGGTGGGCGGCGTTCGCAGGGGTGCTGGCCAGTGGGCCTGGCCGCGCGGGCGGCGGGTGGTTGGTGGAATCCGGCCGCGGCGCGAAGATTCTTCGTCAGATCTGGAGGTTCGAAATCCCTTCCCGGCTACCTCTCTCTCGCCGTCGGCGGTGGCTAGTGATTTGCTCTCTGGCCCTGGCGTTGGTGCGAGTTGGTGGCCAGCTAGGGGACCGGGGGAAACCTTGGCCGGTCCGGCCGGTCCGGCGGCGGCAACGCCCAAGGCGCTGCTTTCCTTCATGGGGGCGCAGCCGAGGTCCCCTGCTTCCACCCCGACCCACCCTGCCCGGGTGAAAACCTTATATCCTCTCGGATTTGGCGGCGGCGGCGCCTTGCGCGCCGTGACCTTGCTGGAGGCGCCGTTAGGGAGGCGGGATGCGGTCGGGAGGCGCTGCAGGTGAGGGACGGAGCTGCCTCCTCTTCATCGTCCGATTCCACGAAGCGTATTTCCACCTAGCTGGGCATGGACCGTGGCGGAGCGGCCGGCTAGGGATATCCCAAATTGAAGTGGCCGCACTATGTCCACCTTCCGATGTGAGGGCGGCATTCTTCGAGCTCTAGGGTGAGCTCCTCGAAACCCCGACGGTGCGGCACCTACGAGCCATGGCGAGGGGGTAGGGTCCCTCTTCGGTGATTGAGATGGAAGATGTTGTTCCCCTTCTTCTCTAGGTGTTCCTGGAGCATGGCCATCTTTGAAGGTCGGATATGCCCTGCTTTGCTGCTCTGCTTTTCCTCATATGATCCTAGTGTGGAGTGCTCGGCCTTTGCAAGCTGTAATCTTAATTTCCTTTGCATTAGCTGCTTGTGGAGGTTGTAGTTAGCGTTTCAGTCCAGTGTTCCCATTGTATCCTTCTGACCGCTGTAATTTGGTTGTTTGCTGTAACTCCTGGCCGGTTGATGGCTTTGTTAATTCAAAGCCGGGCTCCTCGCGAGCCTTCGTTCTAAAAAAAAAGTATTCCCCTGAGTAATCTCGTGAAGGTTGGTGTTGGGTAGGTAGCTGTCCATGCTGAATGAGCCGAGCTGTCCATAGTTTGGTATGCATCCTGACAAGTTGTTGTATGCCACAGAGAATGCCCCCAATGATGACAATTGATTTAACTGCCAAGGTATTGGTCCACTCAGCTCATTGTGGGAGAGGTCCAAGCTTCCTATCTCCTCCATGCCGCCAAATGTCGCCGGGATCGGGCCAACAAAGAAATTATATGACAGGTTAAGGGATTTGACATGGCTCAGGTTCCCTAGCTCCCAGGGAATTTCTCCATCCAACGTGTTTGCGGATAGGTCGATCCCTGACATTGAATCGAAGAAATTGCGACCGTAAGTGTAGATATTTCCTTTGGTAGCAAAGGTGAAGTCTCTTAAGTCATAGCCACTGAAGTAGTCATCTATATTACTCTCATATACTGACTGAAAAATTGCATCGTCCCTATCACCTTTGAAAGAGATATTACCCATACATGCTGGCAGAGAACCTGAAAGCTTGTTATGTGAAAAATCAAGTATCCTCAAGTACATGAGTCTGCACAGGGTTGGAGTGATCTGCCCTTCAAACTTATTTCCGCCCAGCGAAAGTAGCCTAATGTTTTCTAGGTAACTTACCCAATTAAGGTTGCCCATGAACTGATTGTGTCTGATATCCAAAGCAATCAGACTAGATGTGTTGAAAAGGAGAAAAGAGATATCGCCAGATAAGGAGTTCCCGGTAAGGTTAAGAAAATTCAGCACTATGAAGCAACTGTTTGGTACAGACCCTGTAAGGTTGTTGTGCGATAGATCTAGAAGGAGAATTCTTGTGAAGCCACAAATGTGTTCATCAATTTTGCCAGTTAAACGGTTTCCAGCAACATTCAGGGCTAACAAATAGGGCAGATTCCAAAATGACGTATCGAGTTCCCCAGACAGCTCGTTATCTTGCAAATCAATGACGCTTATAGACTGTCCTGCCAGATCATGCGGCAATGTCCCTTTAAATTTGTTACCATCCAACCACAATTCATCTATATTATTGGACAGATTATTCATCCCACCAAAAATTGGACCACCAAGCCTGTTGTTTGAGACCTTCAAGAGGTATAGCCAGGGATAACTAGTAAAAACACAAGCTGGAACCCCCCCAGAAAGTTTGTTGTTTGATAGGTCTATAAGTTCCATGGAGCTGATCTCACATATTGACGTTGGTATGTGCCCAAACAAGTCGTTACTAGAAAAATCTAGAACAGCCAAGCCTGGAAACATTGAGCTGAGGTTGGCCGGCAGCTGTCCTGTGATATGGTTCATGTGTATCTTGATAACACCGAATGAAGATTGGGTATGCCATATTGGGTCCAGTGATCCAGTTAGCAAGTTATTCCCAAGATTTAGATCCAGTAGCGTTGCTTCCTTAGTAAACAACCAATTTGGCATGCTACCTGACAAGTTATTGTTGGACAAATGAAGCACCTCTAAACGACGCTGTGTGCGTAAAAAATGTGGTTCCGCAATAATGTTCTTGTCAAGGTCACAACCAGAGAGGAGCAGTTGTTTCAATTGGAACGGAGGTGCCCATCCGAAAATATTAATGTCAACAGCTAGGTTAACATTGCCTGAAAGGTCTATCTCTTCTAGTTTTGTGAGGCTTTGAAGCGAAATGAAAGAAAGTCTACCACTCAAATTGTTTTGAGAAAAACGAAGACTCTTAAGCGACAATGAAAGATTGGAGGAAGGATTTATCAGGATTGACCCTCCCAGCAAATTATTTGAGAGATTCAACCGTTCAATATGTGGAAGCGAAAACAAGGATGTTGGAATGTTTCCGCTGAATTGGTTGGAACTCAAATACAACTCTCGTAGGTTCTGAAGATTTTTAGTTTCTGCAAAATAATAAAATCATGTAACAATTAGAAACAATGGCAACATTACTTTCACTGATCTAGGTCGGAATTAAATGCTCATTCTGTACCTCGTTCAGTGGGAAGAGCTCCACTCAACATATTAGACTCCAGATGTAAGACCTCAAGGGGGACTGGTGCCGAAGACAGACTAATAGGAAAATGTCCCTCAAAGTTATTATGTGAGAGATCTAGGGACTTCATCTGAGGAAGTGCAAATAATGACACAGGGAGAGATCCGCTAAACTTGTTATGACCCAAATTCAAGCTCCTGATGTTTTTAAAAGCTGCGATGCATACAAGTTGTATAATTAATACAGGTGGCAGAAACTGAGGTATGAAACATGAAACCATTTTTCCAATGTAAGTTTTTTTTTTACCTCTAACTGGGAGAGTTCCGTTGAGGCGATTAAAACCGAGATCTAGGACTTCAAGTGACATTGGCCCCGAGAATGAGCCTATTGGAATATGCCCATCGAAGTC